TAGTATTACGTCGGGTCTATGCAGGTAGATGATGTTAGAATCCGGAGTAACTCGTTTTTTGTTTTTATGGCGGATCATACATTTTATGTGATAGGGGGAAGTTCTACCAAAGAAGAAACAAGCATGGCAGACAAATCGCTCGAGAGTGCAGTCGATCGGAAAAAGAAGGCGACCGAGGATGACGGACAAGCGGAAGAAGGTGAAAGATGTACCGGCCGGGGAAAAAAGCAAGCGGGGGTTTGGGATAAACAACAATACATAGATGAAGTGATTCAAGACTTAACAATGACTCAGCTGGAATCAAAAATTTACAATACTAAGATAGATATGCTAGCAGCCGAAGTAAAGCTACGCATTTTACAAGAAGAACTGAGGAATTTAGATAAGGATACTCACCGACAGGAGTTTGAGTAGATAATGTCTGTGTTGAGGGCGGGATTGGAAGATCGGATCACGAAGGATGAAGYGTTTCAAGTAGCAGAGGTATTGCTGAAAGCAATGATGGGAGGGCATCTCGCAAACGAGGATGTGGAAAGCATTTCGGTAGGTCGCTCAAACGAGGTTGAGAAGGAGGTTAAGTTGGCAGAGGAGGAAGAGAAATGTCCAAAGGCAGAAGATAAGGTTATTCATGCAGAAATTATGTTGGACGTTTTGAAGGAATTCTAAAAGATTATAGGGTCAACAACAGGTTGATCTAAAGTTGACAATGAAGGGTAACGCAAAGGTTAAGGACAATAGTTCGCACTAATCATATCAGCTCGGGTGTGTAATTAGTTAGTCAGAACGTTTAAACGTGCTCATTAGCGATAAGCTCAAATATATCATAACGAACTTTAGCAGTTCACTTTGTCATTAACTTGTTGGCTAATCACGCCATTGCGAAAAAAAACGTGTCGTCCTTAACAAGGCGACTTGTAAATAAACAGCTTTAATTGGTCTTTGGTTCTCTGCAAAATTCAGTAGCAAGTGGAAGCACTAATGTGTTTGAGACTCAAATCTGTCATAACGAACTTTAGCAGTTCACTTTGTCATTGACTTGTTGGCTAATCACGCCATTGGGAAAAAAAACGTGTCGCCTTTAACAAGGCGACTTGTAAATAAACAACTTTAATTGGTCTTTGGTTCTCTGCAAAATTCAGTAGCAAGTGGAAGTACTAATGTGTTTGAGACAAAGTTATTCCGTTATTCCAATGGTCAATGATAGGAAAAATATCAAAAGAAAAATTGTYGCAAAATGATGTTGTTGTTTTTTATAAAGGTTAGAGAAATAGCACTTTGTTATGCTTTGTTACCCGCTAACATGCAGATTAGTATTAAGTGTCGATAGCGGGAGCTCTCTCGGAACTCAGGTAGAGTTCTGGAGGCAGGGAATAACGAGGTATGTCATTTCTTCAATATCTCTTCTTTAAAAAACAGGTGTTCAACGATACTCGATTGCGGGAGCTCTGCCGGAACTCAGGAGGAGTTCTGGAGGCAGGGAACAAAGAGGTACGTGAGTGAACAATAGGGCAATGGTGACGACTACGTACATGCTCTACTCCAAAGAGAACTTGAGTGTCATGTGCGGACTGGTAGTTCATTGTGTGAACCAGTCGAGCATAAAATCAAAACACTATTTTCTTACACGATTTTATCCCTTGTTTTTACTAAATTATCATCCTCTATCAATCACTCATTTTTCATTCTAACCATTTTTCAACATCATGATTGTCCACATCATTCTTTACATAAAGTCCTAGTTGTGTCGCCAATACCTTTCTCCATCTGAACTCAGCAATATCTTTCCCCACTTGCACTCTTGCCCACATCATTATAGGAATGTATATGATTACAAATAACGGTCAAAGAAGCTATCACCTAATAGTATCTGTCATATTCAATACGATGATCGCACGAATATATTTGTTGTAGTAGGCCGACGTCCATCCCACACAATATGTATCAGAGAGGGGGGCATCAGATGGATTATGTTGTAGCATAGGAATTGGATCTTTGCAATTGATGCCCGCCCATATATCTTGCGTTCTGTTATCGTACTATTCCTTTTGCATGTCGCGACTATGATAACCACAAGTGGATTAAGGCGGGGGTTGTTGGGTTGTGGAAGTGTGTCGTGTTGACATGGCTTTTTCATCCCAACATTGAATGGTTATATTGTGGGGGTTGTTGGAGGTGTGGGATTGTGTCGTGGTTGACATGGTCGTCGCCTTCCAATATGGCGTGGGTACATTACAGTTGCGCATGACTATATCCCCGGTTGGTATAGTCGTGTTGAAAGTTTTGCAGGCGGAGTGATTCTGTTATGACTAGCATAATCATTTTTGTCGAATTGAATATTGAGGGTCGTTTTTGAAGTTGCAAGGTCATTTTTGTTCTGCTGCTATGGTTATTCAGGATAAGAACAACCGTGCCTATATTGGCTTGGTGGGGTCTGTCTTTACTGGCCATTGTGGTGCAACATGAATGGTCATTGCTCGTTTGGAAACCCCTAAAGTGTCATCAGTGAGCAGTTCCCACAGACTATTAAGAACAGAAAACTGTGTCCTTGATGTCATAGTTATTTGTGTCTTTGCATAATGTTCGCTACTATATGATTTTCATTAGTTGCAAATAAGAGTAACATCCATGTTGTGGTTGACATGGAGGTTGTTCTTTGCTGCTGATGGAGATTATTATGTTGTTGATGTACTGGTATAGAATGGGGAAGACCATGTTCTTTAAATGCCAGTGCAACTTAAGACAAGCAAGCGAATGTCGTTATGGAACTCGAATGTCGTTATGGAACTGCTAAATCCAAGTTCGTCCGATGCTAGCTGCAGCTTGTTGAGAATGGGGTGGTTATGTCGAAGTTGTTGACATGACTGCTTTTATTCTTTGTTGTGGATGGTATCGGAATATTGAATGTTTGTCCGTCCTTCATGAACTATGGCGTGGAGGATGAATATAACTTGGGATGATTATATCAGTCCGTGCCCATAYGTGGTCGTAATTTGGATGGGTACAATGATGCAACTGTTGACACTACTTGATCATACTGCGGTTGGTATGATGAGGTACGCCATTATTTTCAACTGAGATGAGATCCACGCTCTAACTTCGACTTTTGTATGCACATGTCCTGGTTGGCATGATCATGCAGGGGCTGTAACCGGTATGTCATTATCATGTCGCGGTTGGCATGATTATGTGCATGTTATTGTCACTTGTGGTGTGATGATATTATCACCTCAACCTACTTTTATCAGGCTACAATTAACATTCATGCTTCGATCCTGTGTCAAGTACAAAGACTACCAAATTTTCATATATCATACTTGATTTTATTATTCAATATTACGTTGTGCATGATTCATTGGCCGTATTATCATCATAATAATATTTATCACTCTTTTATTAAAATCACATTTTTCAAATGTCCGATTGCCTGTTGGAAAATGAAATTAAGAGGGGGGGGGGGGGGGGTGTACAAATATGTGAAAAAATATATATCCTGTTATATATATATATACATGTTGCATGAAATTAGACAAGGAAGAGTACGTGGATGGTTTTCTCGATTTAGATAAAAACTATGTAGGCAGGCCATTTTATCCAGAATTTTCAATCCRGATAAAAATTCCGGATTAATTCCGGATATGGAAAAATCTGGCCCTGCGCAAAACATTWTTTTTTACCGAAAAATAAAATAATTAAAACAAATTCTGAAAAAAAATTATGTTGTTCACATCAATGATACAAACAACTTTTGGCTTGAGACCATTGTTGATATCTCAACAGATAAAAAGATAAAAATATAAAACAGAAAAAGAAAATAATATTTAGATAAAAAATTATAAAACGAATCAAGCATCCCCCCTCTAAACCCCTTCATTCCCTATCTTACCCCCTTTCAACCCTTCCATGACTTATCAAGCTTTTTATGAAATAGGAACATAGTTCTATTGTATTTTGCATGCGCAGTATTACTTTTTTTTTTTTTTTTTTTTTTGCTTTTTTTTGGCCATTTTTTAAATCATCCGGGTTTCCGGATAATCCTAGCCCACGATAATTCTTCCAGATAATCCAACCAGATTATCCGGCCAGGTATGCCGTGCTACATAGGAAAAAAATCAATGCAATGGTTTTCTCAATTAAAAAAAAAATCAATGCAATGCAACGACCAGTCCTCCTTCATATTAAGGCCGTGTCGTTAACTCAGGGATGAATTCACCTTCCCATCTGGGGAATATTCATTCGAAGGAAATAGAAACGACACTTGCTTATGTTTGGTCGTGTGGGGGCTTGATTTGTAAGGAAGTACTGCTGGTTTGAKAACATTCGCTCATTTAATTTCTATGCATATTTCAAGTTAAATTGATAAAATATCTTCTTGAGAATTTCACATCGTCCTCCAAGAGACTTTAATCTTCCTCTTTCATGATTTTTAGTAATTTCTCATCCCCTCCTCTTTCAATCTCCAAGTCATCCATCGGCGTTAAGGTTCTTTATATCTCTGCAGTAATACAGATAATTTTCACGTCCACAGTGATCAATACGATCCTTTGTCGCCAAGCTTTGTTAGATTTTAAAGGAAGAATAGTTGGTATAATGTCATAGAACGAGTACTTAAAAAACATTTTCGAGGCTACAAACAGCAAAGGTTTTTCTCGGATGCCCCTTTGCGCGGCCTAGCCAAGCGCCCCCCCCCTTCCCCCCCCCTTCTCGCCCGAGAGGGTCATGGACACTCGACTCGACACATTTTTGTTAGCTTGCCGAGTTTGCCCTCCCCGGTTTGCCCGGGAGGTTACTTTCGGGCGTTTTTTTTCAATAATTTTTATAATTTCTCGTAGCGTAAGAAATAGTTAGTCACACAGTGATAATCAGTATTTTATAATTCCGTTGAGTTTTAAATTATGTGTGTTGCTATCAAAACTAGAAAGTTCTGTGTGATGAAAGAATTTGATAGATGTGAGTGAATATCAAATAAGCATGTTAAGATCTTTTGTGCAAATTTTGTTCAGGTGTTGCAAGCATGAAGGGGGGGAAATGGGAACTTCGACGACATTTCATTCGAGAGTTCGTTGCGGAAAAGAAGAATGTAGGCGCTGAGTATGTTGGGAGACGACCGATAATGCGTTACGTTAAAACGATCAGTGAGTTAGAAGAAGTAAACGAAAACGTTCTCACAGATGATGGAAATGGAAAAAGAAAGGATAAGAAAGAAAAGGATAATGAGGAGGAGAAAAGACAGAAAAGGAGGAAGAGCGATGAAGATAGTATGGAAGAGGGTGCTGAAGAGGGAGGTGACGAAGGGGAGGATAGGAAAGAAATGAACAATGATGGAGAGAAAAGACAGAAAACGAAAGAGAGAGATGAAGATGGTATGGAAGAGGTTGACGAGGAGGTAGGCGAAGAAGAGGAACCCGGCGCGGCGGAAGATGATAAAGCGGGAGCTGACAAAGGGAAAGGGAATCAAGAGATAGATGATAAAGAAGAAGTGGACGAAGAAAAAATTGACAAAGAAAAGAAAGGAAAAATAAAGAAAGGGGATGATGAAGAGAAAGAACATTACGAAAGGGAAGGGGGAGATGCAAGGGAAGGTGGTGATGAAGAGGAAGGAGATGATGCAATGAAAAAGAGTGATGAAAAAAAAAAACCATGATGAAGCAAAAAAAGACAAAGAAGAGAAAGGTGACGAAGTAGGGCAAGATGACGATGAAGAGGAAGGGGATGATGATGAAGGGGAAGGGGATAATGAAGAAGGGGAAGGGGAAGATGCGAGGGAAACTGGTGATGAAGGGGAAGGAGATGATGCAATGAAAGAGAATGACGAAGCGGAAAACCGTAATGAAGAAAAAAATGACGAAGAAGAGGAAGGTGACGAAGCAGAGCGTGGGGATGATGAAGAGGAAGAGGATGATGATGAAGGGAAGGGTGATAAAGAAGAAGGCGATAAAAAGCAAGGCGAAGAAGGAGAATGTGACGAAGGACAAGGTCAAAGTGGGAAAGACGAGGAAGAAAAAAAAGGCGAAGGTGAAAAMGAGGAAGGGGATAACGAATGGGATTTTGAAGGATTGAATGATGACGATGATGTGCAAGCAGATGATAAAAATGAAAATGACGAATATGAAGGTGGTGAAGATGAATATGATGAAGGAAAATGCGAGAAGGGGGAAGGCATTGGGGAAGACAAAGAAGACGAAGGTGAAAAAGAACTTTTCGAGCTAGAATCTGAGAAGGGGAAAAACAGCCAGGAAGAGTTGAGTACTGGATGTGTGTCAGAATTGCGAGGGGGGAGGAAGGATAGAAATGAAGACACAGAAGGGTTGATGGGAACATCAATAGCAAGTTATGAAAATGACAATGGTGATCAAGTTCTTCCCGGCGTGGAGGATGAAGATGAACAAAATATAGTTTCTTTGTCACCAGCTTCGGAAGAGAGAGAGGAAAGGAGAGAAATATGAGAGTCAAGCCTTGAGGAGATGCAGAAAGGAGGGCGTGAAACGTATGTAGGGGAGACGAGTAGTCCAGAGAGAAGTGTACATTATCAAAATATGGGGGATGAAGCTTGTGTACAATCAAGTGAAGAGGAGGAGGAGGAGGAAGGAATAAGAAATGCAGACGTGGAGGATATTACTGATATATGCCTTGATTGGGTRGATTTACGCTCCCACTTCCGCGATGCTGAGAATATTGACCAAGAGAATCACGACATGGTGAGCGAGTATTTTGCAGTTGGACTCAGACAAATACAAATTTGACAATCTGCGTTCCGGGATTAAAAATTTGGAAGGAATTCGAGACATGTCACCGAGAGCTGTGTTTTTTAGATTATGGCCACAAGAGGTTTTCGACATGATCGTCAAGGAGACGAACGAGTATGCAGAGCAGCGGCTAGAAGAAGTGAGGAGAGAATCACGAAAGCCAAGGGCATGGAGACCGACGGAGAGGTTGGAAATGATAAATTTTTTCGGTCTTGTTATAGCAATGGGTTTTAATCGATTGCCGAACATGAACGATTACTGGAGAAGTGGAGCATGTGGTGCAGTAACATATAACGATTTCGGAAGAGTGATGAGCAAGACTTGTTTTGAGGACATGAAAATAATGCTCCATTTGCGAGATTCGAGCGATAGGCCGAAGGAAAAGAACACGAGAGCATATCGATTGTGGCAACTCGAACCTTTGATAAATAAATTGAGATCGGCCGCTCAAAGGTATTTTTATCCTGGAAACGTGTTATGTTTCGACGAGAGAACAATCCCCACGAAGAATCGTTTTTGCCCTGTCAAGGTAGTAAATAAAAGAAAACCTCACCCTGAGGGTATTCAAGAGTGGAGTCTGAACGATTGTGCCACACGATATCAATTTGATTTCGATGTCTACGATTGTGTTCATAAGCAGCCGGCAACACCGAGATCGGAAGGTGCAAAATTGGAAAGAAAACATTTAGGCATGTATCAGAGAGTGGTTTACGATAGAATGCATGCGTTGGGTAAAGGGTACGTAATCGTGATGGATAGAGCCTTTGCTGAAGCCCGCTTGTTCCAACTGTTGAAGACGGAAAAGGGAATTCTAGCGACGGGCCCAGTGAAACTGCCGTATTAAAAACCGACGGAAAAGTCTGTAGGCATGAAAAGGCCGCCATTGCGATTTCCATCGAGTTTGAGATTAGACGAAAATGTTCCAGAAGGTTCAATGTGGTGGACATATGTGCATCAACCACACACAGGCATGATCGCTTGTGTGTGGAAGAAGAGAACGAATACCATACCTTTTCTTTCTACATCACACGGTTGTCGTCCTATTAAGGAGGAAAAGTGTGTAGGAGGGGAGAAAATAGTTACGACGAAACCCGAATGTATTACATTTTATTCGAAGCACATGCACGCAACGGATTCGTTCAACAAAATGTGTAATGGACGAATAGGATGCGAAGAGATGATGACATCGAGACGGTCGTGACCACGATATCTCTGGGGGAGGTTGGATGCTGTCATTACAAATGCTTACATCCTGAAGAAGGTAGGCGGGGCATCTGTCTAGTCTCACGMGAATTTTTGTTTGGAATTGCAAAAGGAATTGGTAGCATGTTATTTAACAGGAACATCCATTCCTCCACAACTCCGTTACGACGATTCTCGAGTGGCTGTTTCCAGTGAGTCCCAATACCCAGGAAGGTTCACAGATGCTCACTATCCAGGGTTGACCATACCGAATGTAAATGGTAGACATCCTGCACTTAGCTGTGTAGTTTGCACATCGTTAACGAAAAGGAAGTACCCCGGGTGGTTAGTACACCGAATTACACAAACATGCGCAACGTGTGCAGTGCCTTTATGCACAGTTCCCTGTTTCAGGTTGTTCCACCAGTATGCCATCGACGGGTATGATTACAACTATCGAGCTTGCAAGCAGCCTGAAGGTGCGGGAAAGCGAAGAAGAAGGTCGAGCAAGAATTTTAAGAGGGGAGAAAATACCAATAAATTTGCACTATGATGTGGCGAAAGGAGGTGAGGGATGGGAAAAGATCGTGGAGGAGGAAGCATTTCGAAATTCAGAGATGGAGCAATCGGATTAGAATTTTAAGAGGGTTTGTATAGTATTTGAATTGGAGGGAGATTAGATGCGGGGATATGAAATTTGTGGATTTGATTTTTTGGTGTGCAGGGCGGTAAAGGAATTTTGATAATTCATTTTTATATGCGTGTAATGTAGGGGGTGAGGGATGGGAAAAGATCGTGGAGGAGGAGGTATTTCGAAACTCGGAGATAGAGCAATCGGATTATAATTTTTAGAGGGTTTGTATAGTATTCGTATTRGAGGGAGATTAGATGCGAGGATATGAAATTTGTGGATTTGATTTTTTGGTGTGCAGGGCGGTAAAGGAATTTTGACAATTCATTTTTATATGCGAGTAATGTAGTGGGGGAAATGCATCAAGGGGGTGACGACACRAAGGTGGAGGAAGATTTGGGCGACATTCATCGACAAATGATCAATTTGGCAAATAAGCTCGCGCGCGTCAAGGATGACATCCTTTATCGTCACAAAAATAAAGTGCTAGCAAATATTTGTATGTTAAATACGATATCTTGCAGCAACGAAGGAGGCGCAACATCAACAAAAAACGACCACGGAGAAAAGGTGCAATTAAAAATGTTCGTAATGGAAGAAGAGATCGTTGAGCTTCGTGACCAAGTTGTCTTGCTGAAAAAAGAGCGGGACAAATTATTGGAAGAAAATGATATACTGCGTAGGAAATTGCGACGCTCTCCATCAAACGCGTCACAACAAATAAGTGCACCTTGTTGTAAAGATGAGGCTTTTTTTGAAAAACGTTCCTCGCAAAACTTATTGTTTGGCAGCGAACTGGAGGGGTCGTCCTTGCAACCTGCAGGAATGGAAAGTGCCAATAATAATGAAATGTTCGTATCGTTTAGCGGAATGACACTTGTTGAACATGAAAAAAACTAATTATGCACTTAAAGGGGTTTGTAATCGTGACAATAAAATATAGCTCTGTAATTGTAATATTCATTTTGATTTGACTTTTATTTTTTGATTCAGCATTAAGATGTGGTGCTCAATAATTAAAAGCTACATTTAGTTTCGATAGAGTGAACTATCTTCTTGTCTTTTGCATACGTGAGTTTAGCTTAGACAATTGTGATTTTTTTTTAAATATAAGTCGAGGTTTCATGAGGAGGTCAATTTTTTTTTTTTGCAGTTCTTARTTCACTATACTTCAAGATTTTAATAAATCGGTACATTTTTCAGATAGTGTGTCGAATCACTTTAAGTGTGTTTCTATAAGCGCAATGCTGGAAAGAATCACAGTCTGTACATCTTTTACAAATATGTTTTTGGAAAGGGAGGGGAAGRGCGCTCAAATGTGTGATTTATAAACAAAGTTTATATCTTCCCCTCCATTTTTCTCTCGCTTTCCTTAACCTCCATGTGTGCTGTTATATATATACGCACTCACAAATATACACATATATAAAAATGTATGTATATAAAATATATATATCTAATGGTTTGAGTGGTCGTATATGTAGTGATATGTATGTTTTCGGGACAACATCTTTGCCACTTATATATACAAGTGATCAATATGAAACACAAATGAGTGCGACTTCAAATTGTGGTTACTTTATTTCTCCTTCTCTCTCTTTAGTCGATGGTTGAATGGCAATATAAAAAAGGGGAGGGGGAGGGGGATGATCAATCCAATTTCATTCTTTATCTTCCTTTGTTTCCTCCTCTCTCT